GCAGAAGTTAATTATTTGTTATCATTAGCATTAAGCAATAGCTATAATAAATCATTTCGTAGTGTGTTTCCTTTGAAGTGTAATCTTTCAGAAATTAGTAGTGAAAGCGGAGGGATTAGCAAGTACTACAATTTGTAAAGCCGATAATTTTTTTTTTTAAACTTTTTTCACTCCCACAAAATGATACACAAATCTCCTTCTGCTATCTGCAACCACCATCGTTTATTTACTCATTTGACTTTTATTGCATTTTAAATTCTAAGATGACTATTTCACGAATAAAACAGCGATTTTTATATCTGTATTTCACTCTTGAAAACATATGTATTTCATTTTTGTTATTTTATTCATTCTGCTATGTGAATTGTCTTACTAATTTTCTCTCTTTCAAATTCTTTCCTTAATTTCATTTCGCTTTATTATTATTATATCGAATTTAATTGGCTAAATTTTTATTTAGAGCTTATTATTTGCCAATTAAAGTTTTAATTAAATTACAGCTTGAAATCTACTTAACCTATCACATTCGAGAACTAAGTTTTTTTTTTACTAAAATTTAATAAAACCTGATCAATAAGTAAACGAAGCGAGACTATTTTATAGCTTACATCATGAGCCTTTCTACTAAATTACTCACATCCGTTTTTCAATCCGATGATATGCTTCTTTTTTTTTTTAGAAAATTTCCTTTTAGCCTCGATATTATATTTTCAGCAATAACGTTTTTGCTATTACTTTAAAGCTTGATATCTTCTGAAAAATCGAACTTTTTCAGCAAAATGCGAAATCGCCGTTTCAATGAATTATTCATACGAAGAGCTATTATCTGTTCATTAGCGATATTTCTGATATCAGCCATACAGATGGTTCGTTTGAGTTCAAAAGAACAACAACAAAAACAATTCGTATCACTTCAACAGCAACAAATTATAAATTTTCAACGACGAAAATTATTGGGTATTTTACCGGAATGTAAAATGTGAGCTGATTTTATTTTTTTTAAATCTTTTTCTTATTTGCTTTTTTGCAAATAATTTTAATTAAAGAAAAGAAAATTTACTGTAATCATCATGGCTTGTTTACTTTTTATTTTGTCCGACGTGCAGAAAATTTATTTGACCTTTGATGGAACTAATAATATATTACTACAGTAATGAAACGAACCGATCTGTAATAAATTCGAACGATGCAGGCCAATTTCCACCGGATCAGTTTACTCTCGAGCAACGACGCCATGGAGCAAGTGAATGAATTATTAAATTAAAATTTTCATATATTTAAATTTTCATTTATTTGTAAAGTTTTAATTTTTTTCGGTAAGGTTTGATTATTGCATGGTAAAATTAGTACAGTAAATAAATTTTGCTCTATACAATCAATTTCAGTAATTTATTATTTATAGTAATCCTACACGTCATTGGTTTGATTTATATGTTCATTGCGCTAGCAATTGTTTGTGATGAATTCTTCGTGCCGTCATTGGGTGTTATCACTGATAAATTGGCAATCAGTGATGATGTTGCAGGTATTGATTGATTGATCACATGTGATAAAGAAATCTGAAGATAGCATAAGTCTGAAGATAGCAAGGTAATCTTACTTGATTTACATCGTTAAGCAAGAATTTATGGATAGCATAATAACCGCGAATTACTGACATCTGGAAGAGATGTTGATAGCAGTAAGCAATAAATCTTTACCAAATCATTTTTTACAAAGTATTATACACTCAAGTGATAAAGAAAAAAATGATTAATCCGTAAATTATTATCAATCTTGACTACATTCATTTTACCCTTCTCTTTCTCTTGCTCTCTCCTTCCCTTCCATACTTATTGAAGAAATCAACAGTTATTCATTGAATTCTAGATATAGCTTCATGATATAGCAACTAATCATGATATAGCAATTAACCATTTTTAATGTTATTTCCACTGATAAGGATATCACAAAGGCTCCATTTGATAAAATTTCCAAGACTCATATTTATTTTTTGAAATTTTATTCAAACCATAGGCGCAACATTTATGGCTGCTGGAGGTTCCGCACCGGAATTTTTTACATCCGTCATTGGTGTTTTTATCGCCGAGAATAATGTTGGCATTGGTACCATTGTTGGTAAGTTTTTGTGCTTAATTCAAATTATATGATAACGGTGCATTTTCATCATTATTTATATTTTAGTATTTTGAAATTTAAAACAACAAAAATAACGATAATTTTTTCCGGATAAATTAATTGTAGCTAGATTTTAATAATAAAATATTGGAAATAAGATATTGTATGCTATTCTAACATATTTCATTTAAAATTTCAGGTAGCGCTACATTCAATATACTCTGTGTCCTTTCATGCTGCGCAATATTCTCTCGTAATGTTTTACTCTTAACCTGGTGGCCTTTATTCAGGTTTTTCTTATCAGTATATATCAGATTATCAAATCACAGTTTTCTTTTTGTACCTCAAATGTGACAGTAAAATTCGTCTTATCCGATCCGTTCCAAACATTCATTATTTCTTAACTTCAAAAAAAAAATTTCGAAAATTTATAGTAAAAATCGATTTAATTACTTCATATATACTAATATCATTGAAAATTTTAAATAGCTTTGTAATACTTTAAGTACTAGAAGTGTTTGTTACAGAACATACCGATATGATATTAGATATGAATACTGGTAATTTAATTTCTTTCATTCAGTTTATCATTAATTATTAGTAATGGTTTATTTATTTAT